GAGAGAGAGAGAGAGTGTGTGTGTGTTGACCACCATGTGTTGCTCTTCCACCAGGATCAGTGTTTATCAGCTGGGACTTTGTTCGTCATGGTTCTGTTTGAGTTCAGTGAGTTCTGACTGTGCTCTGTCCCAGCTATGGTTCCACAGGTCTGCGGTGCTGCAGTCCGGTTCTCAGTCGGGGTTCTTCCCTCCAGCAGAAGGCGTCATGTTGCCGACAGGAAGCTTCAGCAACAGAGTGGCATTCATCACAGGAGGTGGGACGGGCCTGGGCCGTGCAATGACCACCACGCTGTCACAGCTGGGAGCTCAGTGCGTCATCGCCAGCAGGTCAGAGGTCACTGACAGAGCAATGGTTACCTCAGGCTCCACACTTTTCATTTAGGTGCAGCCAAATGTTTTCACTGCCCCTTTAGAAACAAAACACCTATTTGACCTTTTCTTGACAGTTCCCATGTAGTGATCATTTCATACTGTTTGATTTGTTCCAATATGGATTCACTTTGTTGTACAACAACAACTTTGTCTGGATATGAAAGAAACTCTCCGAGAATTAAAGCTCTAAACAAGGAAACCACTGCAGTGAACACATATTAAGATACAACAAACAAAGTAAACTTCAGGTTCTAATAACGTGTGATGAGTGTTTGTGTTGTAAAGCTCAGGTCAGAGCGTGTGGGCGGGGCCTGTGTGAGGAGATCATTGGCTGCCCCGTTTAACCAACGAGGAGTCAGCTGAGGTCACGTCTGACGAATCAAAGTGTTTCACGACGACCAGAAGAAACAAATACGTTCATGTTCTTAAAATCCCGACGTCACGTTTGTTGTTCAGGAAGTTGGATGTTCTGCAGCAGACGGCCGATGAGATCAGCAGCCAGACTGGAAACAAGGTGACGAACCTGATGCAGAATCAGAACCTTGAGTGGTCTGGTCTGAACTGGTCTGAACTAATCTGAGCCCTGCCCCCCTGCTCAGGTCCATGTGGTTCAGTGTGATGTCAGAGACCCTCAGGCCGTCTCTCGTTGTGTCGACCAGATGGAGAGTCTGACAGGACTTCCTGATGTAACACACACACACACACACACACACACACACGTCACCGTGATGTCATGAACTCTGACCTAACCTCTGTGCCCTGATTGGTTCAGGTGATCATCAACAATGCAGCAGGAAACTTTGTGTGTCCATCAGAACGTCTCTCACCCAACGGCTGGAAGAGCATCACAGACATCGTCCTGAATGGGACGGCATATGTGACTCTGGAGCTGGGAAAGAGACTGATCCAGAGTCAGAAAGGTCAGAGACTGATCCAGAGTCAGAAAGGTCAGAGACTGATCCAGA